CTGTGGGCGCTGCTGCGGCAGGAGGAGTTCGTGCTGTTCAGCCTGCTGCAGGGCTCCAGCCGCCACGCGCTGCCCGTGCTGGGCTCCTGCGGCCACTTCTACGCCGTGGAGTACCTGGCGGCCGGGAGCCCCCAGCACTGGGCCCTCTTCCCGCTGGACCGGGATGCGGGCGCCCCCCGGGGGGGCCGGGGCCAGGCCAAGGCCGTCAGCGACATGGCCCTCAGCTTCTTGGACATGGTGAGCCACTTCGACAACGACTTCGCCCACCGCCTGCACCTGTGTGACGTCAAGCCCGAGAACTTTGCCATCAGGAGCGACCTCACGGTGAGTCTGGGGCGGCCGCGGGCGCCACGGCAGAGCCCCGGGTCGAGCCACGCAGGCCTCGGTGGCGGCCGCCGGTGACCCTGGCCCCTGGCTGGGCTCTGACCTGTCCACCACTCCCTCTCGGGGTGTTAACGTCACCCCCGCCCCAAGAGTGGGGCCACACACACGGGGGCGGCCAGCTCGCACGCCGCCGGGGCGCTGTGCCCTGGCTGGGTGTGGGGGCCATTTCCCCAGGCGAGGGCGGGCCCTTGTGCTGCGGCCCCCAGGGGCCCCGTCTGCAAACCGCCCATCTGTCCCGTGATGTGGGGGTGTCCTGTGCCCGGGAGTGAGTCTGCTGGGGCCGGGAGGGCTTGGCGTTGGCGATTGTTGGTGGGTGTGTCTGTCCCGCCTGGCCGGAGAGGGCAGATGACCTTCTCCCTCTCGGGTGCAGGTGGGGTGGGAAGGAGGGAGCTCGGGGGTGTCCTCACGGCGTCCCTGCCCCTCCTTGCCGGGTTGGACCCAGCATGGAGACCTGGGGTCCTCGCATGGGTGCGGTGCCCGGGCCAGGGCCGGGCCCGCCGGACGCAGGCGGGGACAGGGGGGTACGGGGCGGGCTGGCGCCCCTCGCGTGGGTCAGCGCTCTCCCTGCAAGGGCCGGCAGGGGTGGGCGGGACCCTGCCAGCAGCACGGGGCTGGTCCTCATCTGGGAGCCCGGGGGACGAGGGGCGGCGTCACTTCTGCAGCGCTGGGCCCCGCGCAGGAGGCCTGGGCCACCTGCTTCACACAGCCTGGAATCTGGACAAGGACATTTGCCACCAGTGTCGCCCCCTTCTCCAGACAAGCCCTGGAAAGGCGCTGGCGCGCCCCGTCCAGGCCCCTGTGCCCTCACGTCCTGCCCCGGCCCCTCCGGGGAGCTGACACACCGGGCATGGATCTGCGGAGGACAGGAGGCCCTGCCGGCTGCGCGCTCGGTGGGACGTGCCGGCCTCCACGCGCCCTCCCTGGGCTCGGGGGCCTGCGGCGCCCACTCTGCAGCTGTGTCCTGGGGCTGGGCCCCTGCGGGCCGGCCACTGAGCGGGCAGGAGGCCGTTAAAGCACGTGCAGGGCCACGCTCTCGGCAGAGAGGCCGGGGCCATGGCCGCCCTGGGCCACCTGAAGGACGGACGCAGGCCTCATACCGCTGTGGCCGGCGCGGGCCAGGTCCGCTCATGGTCGCCGAGCGGCGTTAGAGTGTCGGGCGTGGAGGCCAGCGACAGCGTGGGCCGGAGCCGCAGGACGGGCCTAGGGGACCGCGGGGGCCTTCTGGAGAGGCGGGCAGCCTGGGAGGGCGTCGCGGCGTGCAGTGCCCGCTGGGCCTTCCAGGAGCTCGCTCACAACCGGGACGAGCCGGCTGCTCAGCGAAGTAACGACGGCTCCTCACCAAGCCCTGCTGGGCAGTGTGGACGGCACCGGAACTCCGCCCTGCACGCTGGGGCTGCGGGGGACGACCGAGGGCCCCTCTTGGCTGACCCTGGACTGTGGACCTTCCCCACAGGCGCCGAGGCTCCCGGCCCACAGCTTCGTAGCTGTGGACGCCCTCGGGACAGCCCCACCAGGCACCTTGTCAGGAGGCCAGTTCTCCGGCGGCCCGGGCTCCCGCTTTGGGCTCTCGGGGTGGCGTGGCCACCTGCCGTGGACCGCGAGCCCCAGGGAGGCTGACCGCGGGTCTGGCGCTGAGGGCCGGGGCGCCCTTGGGCTGCAGCGCAGGGCCGAGGCCCCTCACTCGCTGTCGGTTCGCACCCTGGGGGCCGAGGCTTCGGCGGCATCCAGCACCCCCAGGGGTGCTTCTGTCAAAGGGAAGCGTTCTCCGAGGGCAAGAGCGAGACAGCCTCCGCTCGCCGGTCGCCGGTCAGGCGCTGGGCCCGGTGCGGCCGGCGCGGCCGAGTCCCGCACACAGCAGGTGGCCACTCTCGGCCTCGCAGGTTCCTGCTGCTGCGTGACCGTCCTTGGCTGAGGTGACAGTCACTTTATCCTCGCCTGCAAGTGAAACAGGGTCCAGCTGTCCCTGGGAGGTGAGAAGGAAAAGCCCAGGAATGAGTGGGAGAGAGAAGTTGCGGGGATTTGGGGTTCCCGCAGGGGCCTCGCGGCACTGGGCAGTCGAGGACCGGCCAAGGCGGGCTTGAGCCTCCGCGACCCGGACCAAGGCCTGGGGGCCCTGCGCGGCCTGCGGAGGCCCGGCGGAGCCCGGTGGTAGGGAATTAGCTGCGTGTCCCTAAATAGTAAGGTGGGGCACTTGCCTGAATGCCCGCCCTGCCCGCTGGGCTCGCGCTGTACCGGGCAAAGCTCCTACGGGACGTGCCCTGCCCTTGATTCTCGTTATTCTCCCGTAGTCTGAAGCAGCCAGCGGCTGTCTCCTCTGGCTTGCCGGACGCCCCCAGGCGGGGGCCGCGTCCTAACTGAAGGCGGCGCGCGGCCAGGGGCGCTGGGTCGGGCCCCAGGAGGAGGCCTGTGGAGGCGCCCCGGGCGGGCGGGGGGACTTCAGCTCTCCGCAGCTTTCAGCTCCTCGGTTTTAAGTTCAGGTGGTGGAGGAAATCTGCATAAATTAGAGGTTATTCTTTCTCTGGTTTGAAGCCAACTTGGGAGGGAGCCAGGACGGTAAATCTGAGATTCTGGGGCGTTGCGCGGACATGGGCTCAGCGGTTGGGGCGGGGGGCCCGGCCCATGTCTGTCCCCCAGTCCGAGAACTTTGTCTCAGCCGCCCCCATCGTTGCCTGGCCAGTGGCTGATGGCGAGCTGGTGGGCTCAGGGGAAGGCTATGGGGGAGACCAGGGGTGCTGCCGCCCGCTCCCCACCAGTCCCAGACCTGCCCTGGGGCCTGGGGGCGCGCACCTCTGAATCTGCAGGGGCCACTCCTTTCTAGGACGTGCCAGGCGACTCCCGACGCCGGGCGATCTGTGAGGCTGGAAAGTCCCCGATGCCCGGCTCGTGGTCGGGCCCTTCCCGGGCCAGCGGGCTGCGTGGTCAGTGCCAGCTGTGGTGTGGAGGAGGGAGCCCCGGGCTGCCCAGCGCAGGGCCCCGGCCGCCCAGGACGCCGGCTGGCGCGCTCAGCCCTCGGGTCCTTCTGATTCCAGGTGGTGGCGATCGACGTGGACATGGCCTTTTTTGAACCGAAAATGAGGGAAATTCTCGAGCAGAACTGCACGGGGGATGAAGACTGCAACTTTTTCGACTGCTTCTCAAAGTGTGACTTGCGAGTCCACAAGTGTGGGGCCCAGCGTGTCAACAGCAACCTGCAGGTGTGGTGCGCCCCGGGGGGGGGGTGCGGGGGCACAGCCCAGGCTCCCCGGTTCCTCGCTCCCTGCCTCCAGGTGTTGGGCGAGCCCTTCGCTGCCAACCCTTGGGCTGCTTGCCAGGTGGCCCCCGGGGCCTAGTGGGTGGGCGCCCACAAAGCCCTTTCTGGGACTCCGCCCCCAGCTCCGGGGGCTCAGGTGGGGCCCTCAGTGGGGCGCTCAGGCAGCCTTTGGGGAGCCTGCCTAGAATCCATGGCCTCTTGTGAGCTGTGGACAGCGCTCACCGCCAGGACCTCGGTCACCTAAGCCACCCAACACCTGCCCTTTGCAGCAGAAAGAGGCGCGGGCTGTCGCCCCGGGCACGCAGTTCTTGCAGGTCCATTGCGAGCCGGGGACACACACACCACTGCCACTGGCAAGATAAGAACATTCACAAGTAGACAGAACCCAGATGGCCCGAGGACCTGGACGGTCAGTTAACTTCGTCGTTCAGAGACACGCACGTTCAACACAGCGATAACGAATTTTCATGAATGACGGCCGGGGCAGTTCTTAAAATTCTATTAACTGACGAGTGCGGCTCCAGGAAAACAGACTGGGGTCTTCTGTAAAGTCCGCCTGTCCCCGGGAGAGCAAGCAGGACAGTCCACTTGCTCACGGTCTGGGCCCTGACAGTGAAACCACACTTCCTTCAGCGACGGAGGAAAGGCGAAGCGCGCCGGGCGACGGAGGCGGGCTGCCGGTCTCCTCGAGGTCTGGCCGGGCTCTGGAGGCGGGACGGGACGGGACGCATCCGTACCGTCACGAGCAGCCACCTGCACATGGCATCACAGATGCGTCTCGGTTTCTTCTTTCCTGCGTTTTGTCGGCTTCCCGTACTGTCTGCATTTGTTTCTTCCATGATGAACAGAGCTGGAGACAGGGTGATGGTCACAGCAGATGATCAGATTAAGTCCTTTCACCTCACGTCCACCCAAACTCCAGATGATCGCAGGCCTCCCTGCCCTCCTGCCCGCCACCCCTGCCCCCCCGCCTCGCTCCTCAAGCGCTCTGAGTGTGTGGGGGTCTCCAGGCCTTCCGCGGGGCCCGGCCCTCGCTGCCCCAGTGACCCTCTGTCTCCCCCTCAGGTCATCTGCGACAAAATCTTCCGGCACTGGATTTCCTCGGGCCCCTGGAGCGCCGCCGTGTCCCT